ATTTACTAGAGACATATTTCATTGACATGGAAAGATGGCCACCTTATATAAAATAAAAAAACTATAAAACAATGCTTAGAGTATGGTCCCATTTATGAAATGGTGTATCTGAGTGTGTTTATACTGGCAGATAGAAAAAAATCTAGAAGGAAATATTTCAAAGTACTAACAGTAATTATTTCTTGATGGTAGGCTTATGGGGGATTTTCTTATACATTTCTGCTTTATCCTTTCTTTTCCAACAATTTGGATATATGTTTCAAATGTAAAATAAGAGAGCCTTTAAAAGAAAATTTAATTGTATTGGTGAATATTGATTTAAAGCAGAATGCCTTTAATATGACAGATGTCACTTGTACTGCAAGCTAATTAATTATAAAGGATACTTCACAAATGTGAAATGATAGTTCAGATGGCATGATTTACTCTTTGGCCAGTGCTGAATTACCAAACAGTTGGACAAAGTACGTGCCTACAGTGTTAGCAAAGAAAGGGAGACATCAAAAAACTACAATATTTTGGAGAAAAGTATTTGATTTTTGATACTTCAGAAAAGTATAAAAGTATTTGTCCAGGAAATATCAGAAAGTTGTTAAACTGATGTACACTTATTTATGAGTTAATATCATTTTAATTTTTAAGAACATGTAGGTAGAGAGATGCTTAGGACATACAGGTAGGAGGTATGGGCTAAGTTTCTTCAAGGTCCAGGACCTATAGAAATTAATTTGGTCCTAAGCACAGGAAAAAAAACTGTGCTACCCCCCAACTTTATGTCATTAAAAATAAAAATAATACTTAGGTATAAAATAAGTGCACATCAGTCCAACAAAGTTCCAAGTTTTCCCCAAATGCTTCATGCTTTTATGAAATATCATGAATCCCAGATTTTCTCCAAAATAATTTTTGTGTCTACCTTGTTTTTGGCTGATAACTGAAGAATGAATTTAATCTATGTGGCAATCCAATATGGTCAAAGAACAAATCATATCCAAATAAATGTCCAAATAAAAATGAACTACATTTAATGCAGAGTTTACTATATTTGATATTTTAAAATTCAAATCGGCAAGGTAATTTGCTAAATTTTCTAATACGGCAGATTTGAGCTCATGTGAGTTGGAATTAGGGCCCAACTAGGCTATTTACCAAACCCAAACTTGAACAAGTCTAATCTCCCGAGCCTCTTTCCACTAATGTAAAATAATTATGATGACACAAGCTTTACTGGCATGACAGAATTTTGGGGAATATAAGATGACAAAGAATGTAAAATGACTTTAAGAACTACAAAAGATTATATTAAGATAAGGTGTAATGATGGTGCTAATTACAACTATATTGTTTTCGTCATTAACTATTGCACATGTGTATAGCTTATATACCCCCCACAAGGAAATTCTACGTTCCTAGATATGCGAATTGTGCTAGTCATATAAGAGCTCTACAAATAGTTGTTTTTCAACTGATTAATTCATCATGTCTGAAAACACATTTTCACTTGGTAAAATAACATTTGGGATGTGCAAACAGGGGGAACTGTAACTGACCTCTCAGAGTAACACCCAAGTATACATCTAGTTTATTTATTTCAGTAAAAAACAATTGAGTAATTTATGTTAAAACTTCCAAGATAAATTTTGTTTTCTTTTTGGTTCCAACTATGGAAAACAAAGCATTAATCTTTTTATGAAACCATGAAAAATGTAGAAAACAGTTTTGACTCTCCAGCTATTTTCTAAGTTCCCCTGATGGAGACTTGAAGCATGTACATAAGACTGAAATATGTTCTGAAGTCACTTGAAGAAATAAGGAACATCCTATCACAAAGTGAGAAATTAGATAATATGTGTTTTATCCCAATTAAAACAAGTTTTACAAAAGTTTAAATGCCAGTGAAAATGTTTAATATTGCAATAAGAATGGCATTTTCAAGATAGTATTTGAGAAAAAGGTAATTAATTAATTTGCTTGTTGTTAAATAGCGCATTTAAATAATCAAATGTATGTATCTTCCATATATTTTGTTTTTTCTGACATCAAATTGATGGCTCTTGAACTATTGATATTTTGTATCTAGACCCCACTAAACCCCGTTTCATTTTTTAAAATTATCCATACAAAGGGAAAAATGTTAATATGGCTGTTAGGCACCACATTCCATAAAGTTGCTGAGAAAGGAGTCTTATGAAGAGGACAATGTTCAGGTCCCTGCATCCTGACAAGATAACATACACGTTTCTCCAAGCATACGGTCAACTGATTTCTTTAAAAATATTCAGATTCTGTAATTTAGAAGCCCATTACAACATGGAGTCTTACTGTTGCAGGTCTAGCAGTACCTGATGTTAAACAACTAAAGGACACTCTTAAATGGACAATTTACTCTAGAAAAAGCCAGTAAAGTTCTTGAGAAAGAATTTAGCCTGTTCAAAATAAATGCATGTCTATGGCATACTTTTGGAGGTTTTGAAGAAGGATGCACTGCCTTATCTGGTTATCCAGTTGACAGTTCAAATTTCCTATCAGGAAGTTTTACATTGTGTATTTCTAATCTTCATTCTTTCTAATGAAGTTGAAGCCCAGTGACCATATTTTAGGCTCCAAAAAATGTCAGTAAGCAATGTCCAGCTCTTTGAAGTAAATGATCATCATCTCTTAGTTTCACTTCTCCCAATAAAATAATCCTAATTTCCTTATCCTTTCTTAGAGGGTTCAACTTGTAGTCCTTTAAAAACAGTTCACTTTTCTGTGACCCCTCAGCAAAGGTCATATAATCGTCTCAAGTTGTAGGATCAAAAACTAGACCCTTATTTCCATCAGGGTCTGACCACACAGCTGAAACTCACTGCTGAGAGTCAGTTCTATGTCCATGACTCAGAGTGATTTGCCTCTGCTCAAACTGTACCAACTTCACCTATAAAACCACATCCCAATGAAAACTCGAAACAAAGGAAATAAAACAAAGCCCAAGGTAACTGTTTTCAGTGCATGAAATACAATGCAACTGCAACTACAACATGTCTTAATTTTTTAAAGCTTACTGAAATTTTAATTTTTGCCAGTCAAAAGTTATCATTAACGATTCAGGATGCAGAGTGTTATAAAATTTTTGTTATGACATACAAGCCCAGTACCCCTTTCCCTGCTCTACTTTATGTAGTTGTGATAATAAGGCCTATGGTAGCATGACTTGATGGAGCTGTGAATCTATATAATATATGACATGCCATGAGCACATTAAATCCATTCTTCCTATTAAGTTACTGAAGAGCCTTCCCATATATAAACCAAACCGGACATTTATTCTCGGAGAAGTTAAACTATAAACCTGATTCAAATACATGTAAAGATTGTAAATGAAGGGGAGCAGTGTGTAAAATAAAATGCAGGATTAGAACAAACGTTTTTTTTTACATTTAAAAAATGTTTGCCCTGACAATGATATTGTTAGAGAAGAGAGAGATGGATAAAAAATAGTCCATATGATAAATGTAATGTTACTAACACAGTTTTACCTGCAAGGATTTTTCTGGCTTTAATTCAATGAAATTTCTCTTATCCTGGGTGGTAATGGAGCCCTGTACCCTACTCATCTCAGGCGTCCTTAGTATCCTGAGTTGCCTTAAAGCTGTGACATAATAAAAGGTCAAGCAGATCACACTAAGCATTTGTAAACTACAATAGCCCCCCATTTTGCCTGCAAGCCACACATTCTCACCCTAAGCTTTGCTCACTCTCTTGTTTCATTTCATTGTATAAGCAGGTTAATTTGGAGATGGCTAAGGTACTTGGGAACACCTAGATTTTCAAAACAGTCCCACTTTCCTACTTAACCACCTAAAGAAGTAGACCCATAACACAACATTTGAGGGAACTGTAAAATGGTGTCTGGATACTGAAGGAATAAGCAGCACTATTAAAAAAATGAATGCATTTCACCTTCCAACTCATCTGTGCTTCCTGGGACACAGGTACAAACATGAAACGCTTGGGGTAGAATTTCAAGAAAACTGATTTGTTTCAACATTCATTTGGCAAGATGCTAGACACAAAATAATACCACAAGCCACCTCCCTTTCCTATCATTGTAAATTCAGGGCTCTCAAATCACCCCCCACAAACCCAATTAAAAATAAAGAAAAGAGGCAGGCTATGAATTCACATCCAGTGCTATGATACAGATTGTCCTAATTGGTCACAATGAAACTAAGGGACAATAACAAGAATAAATCTTGCATTAATCCAAATGAAGCCAATGAATAATAATACAAACCAGAAGCACAGTTTCAAAAATATGCAATTACCTCCAAGCATGCAAGGTCATTTGTAACCCATAAAAATGATTGCAAAGCACACTCTGCATATAAATATGTTTCATAAATGCTAAGTAACGTGTATGTATCATATGCATATCCATAGGGTATCCATTTGTATGTTCACAATCAAATCTATGTACTAAAAATGAAACTCTATCTGGCAAATGGTTTCTCAGCAAGAGTACATCGGAATATGAAATAAAATGCTAAATTCTGGGGCTACCTTTTCTTAGCAATGAGGGAAATAAGCAAAATCACCTTATAATTAGGCCGGAAAGCTTAGGAAGCACCAAATGTGTTTTTGAGGAAGGCCCAACCCTGTATGTGAGAGCCGCAAATTAAATGATTCCCTTCAATAACATCCATTTCTTGTCAGCTCTTTTTCCACCCCCTGATTCTGTTGCTAAGCTTGGAAGGAAAGGAACCAAGTGGCTCAGTCTGCATTCTGAGCCAGTTCAGGATAAAATCACAACACCATTTTTTTTTTTTTTTTAACACAAGCAGATGCTTTCTTACTTCTCTCTTCCTGGCAACCTTCCTCTCTCCCATCCCCATCACTGTCTCCACATCTTCCTCTCCTTCTCTGAGGGAGTCATTGTTCAAGTGCAGGCCACAAATGTATACACAGGTCATTTAATAGCCAGCTAAACCAAGAAGATAACCCCGCTCTCTGCTACTTACCATGCTGAGACGCGGAGAAGCTGTTGAAAGGAGGGAGAGATGCAAACTGAATCCATTTTCCTTGTGACCGAGTCAGATGCAGCCTCCGAACCGAACATCAGCAGCGGCTGCTGGGATTTTTTTCCTTCACTCTCTGGTTGGCGACGGTGCGAATAGGAACCACCCTTCCAGCCTCACTAGAGTATCAGCAGTCGAGGCGGCAGAAGCAGCAGCATCACCACAAGGCCTCCTCCCTCTCGGAGGATGGGGTGAGCTCAGAAGCAGCCAGGAACTTGCAGATACCTCCTCTGGCTCCTCCTCTCCTGCCCCCTCCTCCAAAGCCCCACCCCTGCTGCGGTAGAGGCTGCCAGCCCTGGCTGCTGCTGGTTGTCATGGCAACGACCAATGGTAAGCCACCAGACTAAGAGGGAGGCGAGATGGGTGAAAGGAGCTGCAGGGGTTGGAGGGGAGTGAATTTGCGCTGCTGCTCTCTGGGATGCTCTTGGTCTCTCCTACCCTGGACTCCAGGTCTTTAAAAATGGGGTAAGGGTGTATAGCCATGGGAAGAGAATATTTCAATTTTATTGAAGTCTAGACCGAATCATACAAAACAGCTTAGCTATTTTTTCATTTTCTATGGTTTTCCAATAAAATGTATTAAATTTGCAATCAGAAAAAATAATAACAAATATGGGGAAAGTTATATAATGTAATAGGAGATTATTATCACTCCAAATATGTTTGTTCTTTATAGCATCTTTTACTCAAAGCCACTCAAGGTTGTTAACAAGGAAAATGGGTGGCTGGACTTTGCAATTAAAAGAGTCTGTTTGATTCCTTGGCACTACTCTGCTTGTTCTTCTCAGGTGAGTCATTGTTTTTCCAGCTCCCCCTCTGAAGAGGATCTGGAGTCGTTTGGCACTCCCCTGTGGAAAAGGAAGTTGGAACAGAGGAATCAGAAATTCCTTGAGCAACCACGGCTCTCAGTTGGTGGATAGTTTCAAACCTTTTTAGTGTCAGACTCCTGGAGTGTTCAATATCCTGCAGGAAATTCCATGATATTTCAAGGATGCCCTTTTGGAGGTCCCAAGCTAGCTGGTGGTCTGGGTGGTGAGTAGGAAAAAAAGGATGTGAAATCAGCAGTGCTGAGTTCTAGATGAATTGTTTCTAACTATACATTATAAATGACACTAGTATTTATCTCAGGCAGTAGTTGTAAAGATTGAATGAGATAATGCACTAAAAGCACTTCGCATGTAGTAAGCATATAATAAATGTTTACTCTTATTGCTATTATTAGTAGTGGTGGTAGTACATTGTAGCCACTTCTTGATCCAAGGGATTGAAGGAATAGAGTGGCAATTTCAGACACGGGAAAAAATTAAGGTGAGAAAACACTTAATACATGATAGCTGTGATGATGATGATGATGAAGAAGAAGATGATGGTGACAATGATGATGATGACAAAAACAGCGAGGCCCTAAGAGATTAAAAGTTCTCTAAAATGTGACAATTAAGGATGTTGTAAGCCTTAAAGGAGTTAAATAAATTTCCCAAATCCACATGGCTAATACATGGCAGAGCCAGAATTAAAACTCTGATGCTTCTAACACTAGCATTTGCTCTCCTAACCATTACATTTTCTGCTACTCCTCCATGGAATGGAGATACTCTTGTTCTTAATCCATAGGGTTATTTACAGATTCAAATAGGATTAGTACAAATTTCAGAGTCAGACAGCCTGGGCTCGACTGACTTTAGATATGATTTGGGACATGTTAATTAACTTTCCTGAACTATGTTTCTTCATCTGTGAAATGGAAATAATTGTAGAACCTCATCGTGAGAATCAAATAGGATGATGCATGTAGAGCATGAACACAATGTCTAGCACAAAGTGCTAGCTAAGATTCTTTGTTACTCATTCTCAAGTAATTAATTTTAAAATGTGAGAGGACATTTTCCTGCTTGGGTTCACACTTAATGTCAGGGCCTTATTCTAGCAAAACTGATTTGAGGGCAATTAGGTGGTTGAGGAAAGGGTTGCAACTCATCCTCCACACTTGGCATTGCCTCCGGGTCCTCTCCAGGGGAGAGCCTGCATCCTGCTCTGTGCAGCTAGGGGCCCCTCCCTCCCCCAGAACCTAGACAGTCAGTCTACACACACTTGCACGTCAGCAGCACGTGAGTGTAGCTGTGTAGCATAAAGGAATGCGTTGTGATAGTCTAGCTTTTGTATTCTCTGTATTTCATCTTCTGCTGTCTCCACAAAAATGGTCATGTAAAGTAAGCAGAGATGAAAGCTGCAGGTGGTGGAAACTCAGACGTGCTTAGGTGATAGAATCCTCTCCACCAGCCTTGTGAGGAAGCCTTTTATCTTGAGCACCAAGAGCTGATTTTGTTGGGGTGAGTGATTCTAGTTTTCTCTCCTCCTATCAACACAGAGGCAATAGGAAGGGAAAAGTGTTTAGTGTTCCCTATTTAAACAATTCCCTAATTTAACCATTCAAATAGTACTCTTCCTTTTTTCTTTTTTTTTTGTGGCTATATCCATGCAGCACTGTTACCGTTATTTAATAATATTTTCCTTTAGATATTTAATTGTGTGGTATTTATTTTTATTTACTTTAATTATTTGTTATTTATTTACTTTAAAAGGAAATTTGTCTCTGGCTTTGGCAAAACATTAATAAAATTAGGCATGGTAAACAGAATGTTCCCAGAGAAAGCAACTTAATGTAAAACAATATATATATATTTTTTTAGTTAAACAAAGACTTCAACTTCACTTGTAATAATTCTTAGTTAAAAAAAAGAAAATTTAAAATTTCATTCCTTCTCTCCATTGCCATTTCCTGTTACTGTGCTCTATGTTCCCATGGTATCTATTATCTTTTAATATACTATGCTATTTATTTATACTTTAAAATTTTTGTCTGTTTCTCCCCACTAGAATGTTAGCTATGAAAGGGTAGAGACATTTGTTTGTTTATTTGTGAACAGTACCTGACCCATATTAGATGCTCAATAAATATTTGTTGAATGAACAAACCAGTAAATAAATGAAATATCAAACAACTTCTGCATTGAATCATGGCTAAATAAGTTATTATTATAATATTATTTTTCCAGTTATCTATTTCTGATATTTCTAAAAATTAGAAAGAAATTATAATAATTATCTTTTCAGCATACATGCATATTAGCATGTGTATCTATTACATATTTTTTAAGTATATAGTTATTAAAATGGAAATGTTTGCCCATACATATTCAGAGTCACCTAGTATACTGCTGGTAGTCTTTGGGAAACACTGATTTTGTTTCAAGAGCACCTTCTCCATATGTTAGCATCTACTAACTGTGGCCAGACTGTCTACCCCTCCTGAGATCTCTCCAACTTTGACTTCTGAATTCTACGAGATGTCTGAAAAAGTACAGGGTGTGTGTGAGTCTTGGCTCCAAAAGCAGCATTAAATTTTCAGGAGGAACCACAGCATAATGGGAGGAAGCTGCAAAGTGTGGGCTCTGGAGACAGACTACCTGGATTGAGTCCCCACTTCACCATTTTTTTTTTTTCTGAATGACCTTGGGCAAGTGCTTAATTTCTCTGTACCCCAGTTTCTTTTGAAGATCAAAGTTCATGTGTGCAAAGAGTCAAAAAGCATTTGGCATGTAATAAATAAGTAATGTTAGCTAATATTATTATTAACATAATTCTTAATAACCATGGTTATGCATAGCACATTTTTCTAGGTGTTTACAGAATACTCAGATCACGCCAAGCTATTCTAAGAACTTGCTGTTACGACCGCAGACCAGCTACCAGCAGACTATGAGGAATTCTGGAAATGTTTACCTCAGAGATAGGCCAATGTCCTTATTTCCCCCCCAAAAGGGACAAAAAGCTAGGGGTCACAGAAGTGACTGTTGTTTATTCCCTGTCTATTCTGTAAGAGGTTATTAACATATTGTCTATGTACAGAAAACATTAAATGTAAGTAGCCAGGATCTTCTTGAGGTCATTAAGGATAAGGATATCATTCTGACCTCACTGCATGTCCTTTATCAATACTACCAGGAAGCAAGTATATTGGAACTCTCCCATGAACTCTACAGTCCTATGGCCAACCATCTTATGGATGACTCTACTTAGCAGGTAGACACTTCTGCCTTTGCTCACCCTGTATCCTCTGCAAGTCCCTTCCCTGCCCTAATTCTTCAGCCTTCAAGATTTATCCATCACCTCCTTCAAGGACTCTTCACTGATACCAGGATTAGCATGAGATTAGCATTAGAAATGAGATTCCCATTGTCGTTGTCCCTTGTCACATCTTTATTACTATGCTCATGATGTTGAACGGTAAATATTTTTTTGTCTTTCACTCCTATTTGATTGTAAGAACATTGAGGTCAGCAGTACCATTCATTCATTTGTTTACTGATACATTAATGCTGTATTAGGTACCAGGGACACAGCTGTGCATAAGATAATGTGAACACTCTTTTCAAAAAAAAGTTTATAATCTAAAATGAAAGAGATACTACAAAATTTCTTAAAATAAATGATGAGGGCTATAACAGAGAACTACAGGAAGCTCTGAGAGCATATAAAGAGAGAACATAACTGAGTTTGAGAGCCTAGGAAGACATTCTTGGAGGAATTGTGGAGTAGGGTGCGGGCAGATGGCTTCAGACAAAGAGAGGGAAATGTATGCTGGTCCGAGGTGTGGAAAACAGGCACGTTATTCAGTTTTTGTTTCATGCTAGTACCTAGCACAGTACCTGTGCACATCATGTGCCACATATGTGTTTGTTGAAAGAATCAGCTTCCTTTCCCCCCTAACACATAGACACACAGTTCTTTCCTCTAGGTTTTCCTTCTGTTAATTTATTTGAGGGATTAGAGTTTGTCAGTAGCTAAGGAGCTGACAGGCTATGTGGGATGAGAAAGCATGAAGAGAGGCCAAAGGATTCATTGTTGTTCCCACAGTAGAAAAAGAGGTGTAATGCTATCAGTGACCACTGCTCCATTGCAGATTTATTAATAAGGTTTACTCGATAAGACAACCTTTGCTCTGATGTTGAAATGAGAAGCAGTTTTTTCCTTTCTGGTTCTGGGCAGCTGTTATTACCCAAAGGCAGACAACACATGTGCTTAGGTTACCAGAAAATCAGGGACACCAAAGAAATGGGAAAAGTTCCATTTCAATGAATTTTTCCAAAATTTTGTAATC